ATATTGTGGAATTTACTGAGGCTCTTTTTGTGAGCTAGTATGTGGTCTATTCTGGAGAATGTTCCATGTGCACTTGAGAAGAATGTATATCCTGTTGCTTTTGGATGTAAAGTTCTATAGATGTCTATTAGGTCCATCTGTTCTAGTGTGTTGTTCAGTGCCTGTGTGTCTTTACTTATTTTCTGCCCGGTGGATCTATCCTTTGGGGTGAGTGGTGTGTTGAAGTCTCCTACAATGAATGCATTGCAGTCTATTTCCCTCTTTAGTTCTGTTAGTATTTGCTTCACATATGCTGGTGCTCCTGTATTGGGTGCATATATATTTAGAATGGTTATATCCTCTTGTTGGACTAAGCCCTTTATCATTATGTAGTGGCCTTCTTTATCTCTTGTTACTTTCTTTGTTTTGAAGTCTATTTTGTCTGATATTAGTACTGCAACCCCTGCTTTCTTCTCACTGTTGTTTGCCTGAAATATGTTTTTCCATCCCTTGACTTTTAGTCTATGCTTATCTTTGGGTTTAAGGTGAGTTTCTTGTAAGCAGCATATAGATGGGTCTTGCTTTTTTATCCATTCTATTACTCTATGTCTTTTGATTGGTGCATTAAGTCCATTTACATTTAGGGTGACTATTGAAAGATATGTACTTATTGCCATTGCAGGCTTTAGATTCGTGGTTACCAAAGGTTCAAGGTTAGCTTCTTTAGTATCTTACTGCCTAACTTAGCTCGCTTATTGAGCTGTTATATACACTGTCTGGAGAGTCTTTTCTTCTCTCCCTTCTTATTCCTCCTCCTCCATTCTTCATATGTTGTGTGTTTTGTTCTGTGCTCTTTTTAGGGGTGCTCCCATCTAGAGCAGTCCCTGTAGGATGCCCTGTAGAGGTGGTTTGTGGGAAGCAAATTCCCTCAGCTTTTGCTTGTCTGGGAATTGTTTGATCCCACCATCATATTTAAATGATAGTCGTGCTGGATACAGTATCCTTGGTTCAAGGCCCTTCTGTTTCATTGCATTAAGTATATCATGCCATTCTCTTCTGGCCTGTAGGGTTTCTGTTGAGAAGTCTGATGTTAGCCTGATTGGTTTTCCTTTATAGGTGACCTTTTTCTCTCTAGCTGCCTTTAAAACTCTTTCCTTGTCCTTGATCCTTGCCATTTTAATTATTATGTGTCTTGGTGTTGTCCTCCTTGGATCCTTTCTGTTGGGGGTTCTGTATAATTCCATGGTCTGTTCGATTATTTCCTCCCCCAGTTTGGGGAAGTTTTCAGCAATTATTTCTTCAAAGACACTTTCTATCCCTTTTCCTCTTTCTTCCTCTTCTGGTATCCCTATAATACGAATGTTTTTCCTTTTGTATTGGTCACATATTTCTCTTAGTGTTGTTTCATTCCTGGAGATCCTTTTATCTCTCTCTATGTCAGCTTCTATACGTTCCTGTTCTCTGGCTTCTATTCCTTCAATGGCCTCTTGCATCTTATCCATTCTGCTTATAAATCCTTCCAGGGATTGTTTCACTTCTGTGATCTCTTTCCTGACATCTGTGATCTCCTTCCGGACTTCATCCCACTGCTCTTGCATTTTTCTCTGCATCTCATCCCACTGCTCTTGCATTTTTCTCTGCATCTCATCCCATTGCTCTTGCATTTTTTTCTGCATCTCTGTCAGCATGTTCATGATTTTTATTTTGAATTCTTTTTCAGGAGGACTAGTTAGGTCTGTCTCCTTCTCAGGTGTTGTCTCTGTGATCTTTGTCTGCCTGTAGTTTTGCCTTTTCATGGTGATAGAGATAGTTTGCAGAGCTGGTACAAGTGACCGCTGGAAGAGCTTCCCTTCTTGTTGGTTTGTAGCCTTTTCCTGGGAGAATAGCGACCTCTAGTGGCTTGTGCTGGGCAGCTGTGCGCAGACAGGGCTTCTGCTTCCTGCCCAGTTGCTTTGGGGTTTATCTCCGCTGTTGCTGTGGGCTTGGCCTGGCTGGGGCTGTTCCTCCAAAATGGTGGAGCCCCGTTGGAGGGGGAGCAGCCAGGAGACTATTTATCTCCGTAAGGGGCCTCTGTGCTCCCTGCTGCCCAGGGGGTTAGAGTGCCCAGAGATCCCCAGATTCCCTGCTTCTGGTCTAAGTGACCTGTCCTGCCCCTTTAAGATTTCCAAAAAGCACTCTCCAAACCAAAACAACAACAGCAACAATGAGAGAGGGAACAGAAAGGAAAAAAAAAAGAAAAAACACGCGATTTTTTTTTTTTTTTCCCCAGGTGCCGGTCCCAGGCACCCGCGCACTGGTCCTGCTGCCCTGTCTCCCTAGCACCAGGGTCCCTGTCCTTTCAAGGCTTCCAAAAAGCACCCACCCACCGGTCCCGCAGGGAAGGAACGCTCAATATTCTTGGTCCTCAGGCACTGGTCCCACGCACCCGCTCACCAGTCCCGCCGCCCTGCCTCCCTAGCACCGGGGTCCCTGTCCCTTCAAGGCTTCCAAAAAGCACTTGGCAAAAAGAGAGAAAAAAAAGGGGAAAAACGCGCGATTTCTTCCGTCCTCAGGTGCTGGTCTCAGGCACCCACCCACCGGTCCCACAGGGAAAAATGCGGGATATTCTTTGTCCTCAGGTGCCGGTCCCAGGCACCCGCTCACCAGTCCCGCCGCCCTGCCTCCCTAGCACCGGGGTCCCTGTCCCTTTTAGGCTTCCAAAAAGCACTCGCAGAAAAGAGAAAAAAAAAAGGGGAAAAACGCGCGATTTCCTCTGTCCTCAAGTGCCGGTCTCAGGCACCCGCCCACCGGTCCCGCAGGGAAAAACGGGGGATATTCTTTGTCCTCAGGCGCCGGTCCCAGCCACCCGCTCACCAGTCCCGCCACCGTGCCTCCCTAGCACTGGGGTCCCCGTCCCTTCAAGGCTTCCAAAAAGCGCTCGCCAAAAAGAGAAAAAAAAAAAAAGGGGAAAAACGCGCGACCTCCTCCGTCCTCAGGCACCGGTCTCAGGCACCCGCCCCCAGGTCTCGCAGGGAGAAACGCGGGATATTCTTTGTCCTCCGGCGCCGTTCCCAGGCACCTCCTCACCGGTCCCGCCACCCTGCCTCCCCAGCAACGGGGGCCCGTCCCTCTAAGGCTTCCAAAAAGCGCTCGCCAAAAAAAAAAAAAGCTCCGGTTTCTCTCCACCCGCCGGGAGCCGGGGGGAGGGGCGCTCGGGTCCCGCCGGGCTGGGGCTTGTATCTTACCCCCTTCACAAGGCGCTGGGTTCTTGCAGGTGTGGATGTGGTCTGGATGTTGTCCTGTGTCCTGTGGTCTCTATTTTAGGAAGATTTTTCTTTGTTATATTTTCATAGCTCTATATGTTTTTGGGAGGAGATTTCCACTGCTCTACTCACGCCGCCATCCTGGCTCCGCCCCCTTAATAAGCATCTTTTTTATAAGCACAATAATCTTAGGTCTTCTGCAATAGCTTAGGTCTTTTGATTAAAAAAGAAAAAAAATATGTATTTGCACATTTTGTCTTAATTTTTTACATTATCTTTTTTTCTATTTCTATTTACTGAAGAGCTTTCCAATGAATCTTTATAGAAACTCAAATATGTCCACCCAGGGCTATATGTTTTTTGATAACATAAATTGGTTGTTAATTTGTCTGTTTTATCCGTATTTGTTTGTTCTATCAGAGCAAAGTCATGAAGTTTTTCGTAGTTGAGTAGAGATTGCACAATTTTTCAATGTAAATTAGAAGTAGTAGCTTGGGTCAGAAGCCGCTTTTGAGGCAATAGTTATTTTTGTGCTTTAGCTGAACATTGATAAACATTTAATGTTTATGATGTTACCCAGTATTTAAGAACAGATCTTTTCTCTTAATCTACTTTGTCTTCCCCCTGCCTTTCTTTATCCAAAATGAAAATATCCAAATAGTACAAAATGCTAAAAATAAATACATGAAGAAAGCAGATGCTGAGAAATTAATGTGTTGAGTGTATTTATGGAAAATGAAATAGTGAGATTTGTGCTGTTTTATTTTTTAAATAAAAATCCTTCAATAAAATAGTGTATAAATTACTTTGAAAGCCAAATGTAGTTTGTTTCAAGGACTCTTAGTTGATTCTTTGTGATAAATTCAGGTTTATTTTAGTAACTCTTCCTATGCAACATGTCTTAATGCAGTTATTTAACATTCCTAAAAACTAAGCACAAGTTTGTGATTTGAGGAAGTTAAGAGCCAAGGCTCTGGCATCAGAACTGGACGAGCATGTCTGGTCTAGCAAGCAATGTGACCTTGGGCAAGTTAGTTGATCTCTCTTTAAGACTCAATCTTTATTTGTAAATTGGGGAAAATACTAGCTACCTTGTGGGTTGCTATGAACAGTAGATGAATTAATCTATATAGAGTGCTTGCCCAGTTAACACATTTGCTACCTGCTGTTATTATCATCCTTCTCATTATCAAACTCATTCTCAAGAAGGTCCTGCAGCCCTTTACTCTCAACTGAAAGTGTGTGGTATCCAGACGTTTAGCTTTGCAGTCACTAGACATTATAGTGCTTGGAATGTAAAGTTTAGTGGATTATTTTTCCACTTAGGAAATGAAGACTGTATTTTTCATGGAAAAGGAGAGTTTGGTATGTTAAACTTTTGGAGAACAGAGCTGCAGGCCCTGTTGAAGTAGCAGAGCACTAGAAAAGATTTCTTTATAGGTAAATACAGAAAGATATTGGCAAGTTTACTTCTCTATTTTGATGAATGCTGTTGGAGGTCCCTTTTATTTTTTTTTAATGTATATTTGTAAGTTTAGCTCCTTAAGAGAAGAACAATATCTGAGTAACCTGAATATAGTGTGGGCATCTGATAAATATTTGTTGAACAAATGGAATTTTTTGGAGATAATATGTAAACTTTATAATAAATGGTAATTAGACTAATAATATTTCTACATTAGTCACAATTGGTTATTTAAGTATCAACCCTCCTTATAAGTGAATTTACTGGAATACATTTTCATTGAAATTAACTTTTAAAAAAATCTGTTTTTGCAGGTGGTTGTACCCAGAAGCCCTTTCCAGGCCAAGGGACTTCTTTTGTCATGCATAGAGGATAAAAATCCTTGTATATTTTTTGAACCTAAAATACTTTACAGGGCAGCAGGTAAAGGTTTCCCTTATTTCATATTTGTGAATATCTTTATACATTTTGTTATGCCCAGCTGAAAATTATAACTTTCTTTCATAATCTTGATTTGTATTTTTCTTACAGAAGAAGGCTCTGATTACTTTCTTCTATATTTAGTCTGTCCTCATCTGTATATTTCATGTTAACCTTAGGGAAAAATCCATCTGTTTTTATGTTTTATGTTTAGCCATTTTATATTTTGACTGTGGAAACAAAGAAGCAATGTGAAATGGTAGTAAGAACATAGGGACAATGTTTTGCTACATAGTAGATATTTAATAAATATGGGCTGAATGAAAAAGTGAATGAGTTCATTGTACTAAATAATATCAAATACCTGTTTAGCTAAAGTGTCCTTATAAGTTTTCAGCTAAATTAGAAATGTTTGATAGTGAAGGGTATATTACTAATGCTGTGACATCAGGTCTACACTGGGATGACTGTCGAAGCAAACTGAGGTGCTTGCTGAAAATCGTGTCTGTAACTCATGTACAATTGCTTATTTATCAGCTGTAGTGGAAATTTTAAACATTAGACTATTCTATCTATGAAGTATATTTCATTATGAATTCAAGAGACATTGTTTGGCAAATGATTTTCCTTGAACAGTTAAGCTTAAAAATATTGTGATGTGGTTTGTATGTAATAAAATGCACAGATACTAAGTATTCAGTTTGAAAGATTATTTTAACAGTCTTATATATCCATGTAACCACTGTGCGTAATATGACAACATTTTTCATCACTTTAGCAAGCTCCTTCCTGCTTTTTCCCTGCCAGTCCATTCTGCCAGTCACCTGATTGCTGTCACCATAGATTAGTTGCTCATGTTTTTGGGCTTCATCTAAACAAATTACACAGTATATATTCTTTTGTGTTTGCCTTCTTTTGCTCAACCTAATGTTTTTGAGATTCATTTATGTTGTTGCTTGTATCAGTAGTTTATTCCTTTTTCATTGCTGGGTAGCATTTCCATTGTGTGACTATACAGTTTGTCTATTCCCCTGTTGATAAACAAATGTCCATCATTGTTTTTTAGTTTTTGCCTATTTTGTACAAGGCTGCTAGGGACATTCTCATATACATTTTTGTGTACATAATGTTTCATTTTTGGGGGGTAACAAACATACAGGAATGGGATTTGTGTGTCACAGGGTAGATACAGATATAATTAAGAATCTACTGATGTTTTTCATTTTACGTGTGCTATTTTATACTTTCTCTGGAAATTAATCAGAGTTCCAGTTGCTTCTAAGTTAAATATATTTTAAATTGGATCTCTGTAGTTTTTAGGAACTCTATTGTGACCTGTCTACTGTTATGGAATAAAACTTAAAGATTTAAAATCTTGAGTTAACAGGAAAACACTGATGGTATATACTGAGTAGCTACTTGACTTTTAATTACTTTAGCTACACTACAGATATTTGTGGGGCCAACCCACTGTTAAAGCTTATCAATTAGTGCAGAGTTTTCTCCCAGTATTTAATAGATGGAGACTGAATAAAAGAAAATTTGGAAAAGTAATATTCACTTTGCTGCAAATATTAAAATTAGGATTGGTAAAGGAAATGTTGAAAGTTATGGAATTCCAGCTAAGAGAAAGAGCATGAGAAATTTGTTGCAGGATTGGCCCTGGAGGAGATGGTGAAAGACTCTAATGAACAAGAAGGCTCAGAACCTTTTAGAAGTTTCTGCTTGATCGATTATGTGCTATTCCTAGAACTCTCTTCTCTTGACCCCTAGTGGCTTGGTAAAGACCAAAATAAACACCAGTTATTTCACAGCTTGAGAGCCTCTCTGCGTAAGATAGTATAGGCTGGGAAAAAAGAGCTAGCCACCCAAATCTTCATGTCAGTCTTTTCTAGGTGGTTATCAGAGTTGAGCCCTGAGCCAGCAGCATAAAGGCATCCCGGGAGCTGACCTTAATTCATGATTGACTGAATTGGAGCCTCTCTTAGTAGGTCTCCAAGTGGTTCTGACTCACACTGAAGCTTGAGAACCAGTGCTTAATGTCAGTGCTGAAGCAGCAACTGACAGCAAAAATACAGTTTTCACTGTATTTTATTCTTGGTTCTTATACAGAATTCAGGTTGCTTTTAACCAATCATTTTCTTAGATTTGTCCTCTGGTTCAAATCAGTACCGTGCAGCTTGCTGTATCCTGGTTTCTGCTTGTGGGGTGGTAGGGGTGTGGCCTCTGCATGTCCCAGCACTGACTCCTCCATTGCTTTCTACATGCAGCCCACTCTTCTCCGGCTCTCAGATCTGCTTCACACTGGGCTCGCCAAACTTCCACTTGTTTGGAATGTTAGAAAAAGAAATGGAGCATTTTGTTTCATTAATCTGAGGTGCTTTATGGAAGACATTTCTGTATTGACCAAACAGACCGATAAAGCAGGTTCTTTAGAGTCATTTCAAAGATCAGAGTAGCCTGATAGTCTTCCTATTGCCACCACTTATAAACTAAGGTATCTATGAATTTAGTAGATAAATTTATTTTCTAGATTCTTCTTGAATTTCCATCCTACATTTGGGAATAGTTAAAACACAGTAGACTGCATATATGAATTTTACATTTAGAGTTTTTTAAAAATTCATATTGCGAAAGGTCAGAGTAATATAGGTGTTATATTAAATACTAGGATGACAATTCTTTATAAAAGTAATTGGGAGTTGTATTCATCAGATGATAGTTCATTTAGGTTAATTATATTCTTAATGAAATGGAACTAACATAGTCAAGAATAAGATAAGAGTCTGAGGTAATGTTTATAAAATCTGTGCACTTGAATCCTTTATTTATTTATGGAATGATATCTTAAACAGAGATATATTCATGAGTTAGACAACTCTAAAAAGTTAGATGTATTTTTTAGGCTAACAGTGAAAACTATAGTAAGACCTTGAATAAGATAGAAATCTATTTCTCTGCTGTAAGTGCCCAGATCAGCTCCAGGGCGGCTGTGGTGGCGCCTCTGTCATCACGGCCCAAGGGCCCTCTAGTCTCTGTCCTGGCCTCTGGCACTCAGCGCCTGGGTCCAGATCCACTTCGCTCCTAGCTTCCCAAAGACATTTCAGCCGCCAGGAGGGGGAAAGGGGAGGCAGAAGGGAAAAGGGATTCTGCTCTGAAAAGAATGACTGGGAAATTGCACATACTAAATCTACTCACGTTCCATTGGCTGGAAGTTCATCACAGGGCCATGCCTAGCCACAAGGAGGCTGGGAAAAGTAGGTTTTAGCTTAGTGCCAAACTAAAATTTTTATTATACAATGAAGGGATGTTGACAACTACCAGTCTCTACCACAGTTCTTGTGTGGTTTCCAAAAGAAGGGAATTTTAAAGAGGGAATAGAGTTATTAGAAATATGATTATTTACTGTTTGATCCATAGTCCACTCTACGAATCTACTTCAGAGAGATACTGGTAAAAGTCTGAAGAAATACTACTCTTTATTGCAGTGCCTTATATAAGCAAGGACTGGAAACAACCCATTTGTCCATCACTAGGGTATTTTGGGTTGGTTGCAAAGCTAGGCTACATCTATCTGCTGGATTATACTGCAGCTCTTTAAAGGAATGAGATCTCTAGATAACTGCTAGAGATCAGGGTTTTAGCAGATGTAAGACACTAGATACAAGGAATTTGTATAGTCATTATTCCTATAATATATGCACTTATAGAAGCTAAATAGTCTATGCTAAATTTGTTGCTTCTATATTTGGTGCTGTATCCTGAAATCTACAGGGCAAACTGTGCGGAAGGGAAGATGGACATAAAGTATGGGAGAGCAAGGACAGATTCAAAGCTGCTTGGGTGGATTGGCACCCACAGGACAGTCTGGGACTCTCACTGCCTCCAGTCCTTGGTGTGAAGAAAGAATTGATCCTAGGGATAGGAGTCTTTAATAGCCTGTCTAAGAAATGGTGAGGGCCAGAACTGGCAGAGAGGGATGGATGGGTTATAAATTTGTTAGATTGTATGAAATACTTGGTGTCTAAATGAATTTAAGGAGGGGAAAGAAGAAGGTGTCAATAGTTTGAGTACAGAATATGGTTTCCTTGTCTGGTAGTAATGGAAGAATGGTAGATTAGATACCCTGAAGTAAATGGGGGTTTGTTTATTTTAAATGTATACAGAGCTGGCATGGAGGTTAGGATTGTGCGGAGTACTGAAATGAAGCTCAGAAACTTGGGATGTAATTGAATGCCGAAGTACAAAGTATCCCTGTGGATGTTTGCCAGGTCTTGGAGACACTGTGCTTCTGCTTTGATGACTTCATGGGACACTGGCGGTAAGACATACAAAGTCCAGGGCCCAGTGTAGATAGAATCTATAAGGAACCTTTGCTTAAGGATGTGTATGCCACATCCATAGGGTGAGGTGGAGGGATGACAGGAAGGTAAGTGACCTGTCTTGACTCTTTGTTGATGGAGAGAAAAGAAAATCTCAAGAATTTTTATCACAAGATGGCTCCTCCAGAGATATAAACAATACCAGTGTGGTCTGAAAATTAATAAGGAGATAATTTAAAGTTGTTCTGGTTTGGTGGCACCACAAGAGAGCTGTTGGAATGACACAAAGTCCTCTCTGGAGTCACTTCAACCCAGGCTTTAGAATAGTCCCACAGATAAAGTTCCAAGGAAAAAATAGTGTTTTTTTAAGCAGAAAAAAGAAAAGGCAGATGTAGGCCCATTGAGATTTCAGATACTAAAATGATCACATAGAGAATATAAAAAATAGATTTCATATTAGTAAAAGAAGACACTTCAGAATATAAGCTGTAGACAAGCAAATTTGAAGAATGGAATGCAGTATCTGTAACAGAAAAAAAAATCTCTGGTTTAACTAGAAATTATAACAGATAAAGGGGAAATGAGTAAACTGGAAGGCCAAAAGTATTAGCTGCATATAGTTTAGAGAAAGAAGGAACATATGAGAGAAATGTTGAATATGGAGGGAGAATGGGAAGGTCT